CATTCAGGAGACGATCAGATGATCTAGTTTTAGCCCAAAAAATATCAGCTTTCCAAAAGGAAGAAAAGCATGGAAAAAAAAAGAGCAAAAACATACAACACCGAGGATTCCCCAGTGGTCACCCACCTGAGTACTAGTTCGGCCCTCACTGGTTTGACTAGGGGAGAGCGGACGGGATCCCGTATATTCCAGTGGGTATGGTCGTATGTGCCAGTCGTTGCCTGTCCGTTTGCTTGTATCGTCACGCCGTCAGACACAACAGACGGCTTGTTGGAATTGGACCCCTCAGCGGAATTGCGTGCCCACCACCATCATCGGAACAAAATCGGCGGCGGTCAGGAAAAAAACACCATGACTCAACCGCGATACCATCACCACCACATTGACGCGACCCAAGGCTCGACGGCCGCCCCGGCCGACTAGAAACCGCTAACGCCGGCCCCAGCACTAACCTTCCGCCCATGTCGCTGACCAACGCAACTGCCGCCGAGGCGGCCCGCGAGGCCAAGGCGGCGTCGCACGTACTGGCCACGCTCCCCGCCGAAGCCCGCAACGACGCCCTGACGGCCATGCACGACGCCCTGGCCGCGGCGCGCGGCGACATCCTGGCCGCCAACGCCCGCGACATGGCCCAGGCCCGCCGCGCCGCCGCCGACGGCAGCCTGAGCCCCAGCCTGGTGTCGCGCCTCGACCTGGGCCGGCCCGGCAAGTGGGAGGATATGCTCAAGGGCGTGCTCGACGTGCGCGGGCTCGACGACCCCGTCGGCCGCGTCTCGCTGCGCACCCGCCTCGACGACGGCCTCGAGCTCGAGCGCGTCTCGTGCCCCATCGGCCTGCTGCTCGTCATCTTCGAGGCCCGCCCCGAGGTCATCGCCAACATCGCCGCCCTGGCCGTCAAGTCGGGCAACGCCGTCATCCTCAAGGGCGGCCGCGAGTCCACCGAGTCCTTTGTCGCCATCGCCTCCGTCATCTCGGCCGCCCTCGCGTCGTCCCGCGTCCCCAACGCCGCCGTCCAGCTCGTCACAACCCGCGACGCCGTCTCGGACCTGCTCGCCCTCGACCGCCTGATCGATCTCGTCATCCCCCGCGGCGGCAACGAGCTCGTCCGCCACGTCAAGGCCAACACCCGCATCCCCGTCCTCGGCCACGCCGACGGCCTCTGCTCCGTCTACCTCGCCCCGGACGCTGACCCGGCCCTGGCCGCCGACGTGGTCGCCGACAGCAAGGCCAACTACCCCGCCGCCTGCAACAGCGCCGAGACCCTGCTCGTCGCCCGCGGCGCCCTGACCTCTGTCTTCCCTGCCGTCGCCGCCGCCCTGGCCGCCCGCGGCGTCACCCTGCGCTGCGACCCCGAGTCCAAGGCCGCCCTGCCCTCCCCCGACCCGGCCGCCCCCGCCCCCGCCGTGGTCGACGCCACCGACGCCGACTTCGACACAGAGTTCCTCTCGCTCGACCTGGCCGTGCGTGTCGTCGCCGGCCTGGACGAGGCCGTCGCCCACATCAACGAGCACGGCAGCCACCACACCGACGCCATCGTCACGGCCGACGCCGCCGCCGCCGAGCGCTTCATGGCCGGCGTCGACTCGGCCGGCGTCTACTGGAACGCCTCGACCCGCTTCGCCGACGGCATGCGCTACGGCTTCGGCACCGAGGTCGGCATCAGCACCAACAAGATCCACTCGCGCGGCCCCGTCGGCCTCGAGGGCCTCATGATCTACAAGTACAAGATCCGCGGCGCCGGCCACGTCGCCGCGTCGTACGGCGAGGGCGAGGGCAAGCGGCGCTTCAAGCACGAGCCCCTTCCTCTGTAGAGACTACAAAAGACGACAATGTCTGTCTGTCTGTTGGCATGAACATAGCTAGTCGAAAACGTATCCTTCTGCACAGCGGTGTGATATCATTGGCGTTACGGTTGAGATCAAGGTGGGGAAATGGCATTAGTGCATGATCTAGATAGAGAAAAAGGCCTCTGTTTACCATTTATAATACCAACACCTTCTGGGATACAAACGACCCCGGACGCAAAAGCCCGAAGAAAAAGAAAAGAATTATATGTACATACCGTGTGAAAACGTACATTAGAACCAAGACACGCGGACTAATAACAACAAACAATGGGTAATACTTGATTATTTCGGCTGAACCTTGACATCTAGGTAGTCCTCCGTCTTGCACAACAGCACTGAATCCATCTACAACACATCGCTGTTACTGGCTACTGCAACCCTATATCCCACGTTTAATCCTGCACGCTGTACAAACCGCACAACCAGGCCATCTGCCCTCATGCCAGCGGGTTCCAAAATTATGTAGGTCTATTCGTAATAAACGCCATTGCTACGATCAAAAGCGTCCCTGGGGCACGAACTCGCTTAGATTGTCCCCTTGGCTCACAACAATAAAATGAACGAAAAAAAGGACACGGATTCAACAACCTACCCAGCCGGCAATCGTCGTTGTAGCTTAGCAAGGAACCTAACTGCTCTTAGCTCAGATCGAATCCCGCGTTAGACGAGACCGCGTATCTCAGCTTATTCTTGAGAATCTCCAGCGTCGGGTAGCGAGGGAGCTTGAGAAGGTTGATACACGTGGCTGCACTGGGCAGACGTTCGGGGTCGCCACCACCGTCGCGTATGCTGAACAGCGGCTTCAGCTGAAAGAAGCCGAGGAGCGGGGCACGCGGGGTCGATGTGACATATTTGAGCACGTCACGGCGCTCCGAGTCCTGGAACTCGTGCATGGCCTGCCAGAAGAGGTCGATGGTGGGATGGTCCTTCCCATCGTCGCCAACCTCGTACACGCCGCTGTAGACGGTGTGCTTCCGAAGGTCTTCCAGGTCGATCTCGGACGAGTCGCCGCCGACCAGCCGCTGCAGCTCGCTCTGGTTGAACATGCACAGCCACGCGGGGTCAATGATGCTTCCCAGTCCGCGCAAGAACGCCCGCGTCTGCTGATACGGTTGCGCTACGAGCCGATGCCGTGCCACGTACGATATGTACAGCGGCCTGTTCTCGTTGGTCACCGCCACGTCCTTGCCGTTGGGCATCAGGTCCCGCGTTATCGTCACCGTCTCTTCGCCGGTTGCCGAGACCTGGTCGTTGATGGTAAAGTCCAGCTCGAGCTCTGATACGTCAGATTGCATGTTCTTGAGGCGCAAGAGGCCTTGGTACAGCTCCTCGTCCATCTCGCGCACGTCGTTGATGCTGGCCCGGTACCCCAGATCCGTCGCGGCTGATACCCACTTGAGCAGGAAGAAACCGGCAAAGGCAATGTCGATGAGGATCCCCTCATACATGCACTTGCCAACAATACGGCCCAGGAACTCGTACTGCTCGAGCAGTGTCTGCACCTGTAGGGTCCACTCGTCGCTTCCCTCAAGAAATCCCATGTCCCTCAGCGACTCTTGGAGTTGATCGAGCGAAGATGGGTTCGGGTACATGGCGTTCGACCCGTTGGCAACAAACAGGTTATGTTGGCTGCTGCCGAATGCCTCCGTTGTGATGCTTGTCAGGAATTCCTTGGTGACTCCGCCCCCATCGATGCCTGCCTCGATCGTGTCGAACTGGTCGACAAAGGTAATCTGAATTGGTTCCTTGAGACCATCTCCGAGCGGGTAGAACTGGTCATAGGCGTCGTCAAAAACATTCCCCCGCTTGATCTTGGCATGATGGCGGCCGATAACTCCTCTTGCGGGTATTGGGTCTCTGGAGCCTGCGCTGAGAACAAACTGGCGCCACTGGTCCGCGTCAACATGCCCGTGACGGCGCCGCTCCTTGTCGAGGTGGACAAACTGGCGGAATATCTGCACTCGCTTCTCGAAAGGTATAACAAACGGCATGTTGCGGAGTATCTCCAGCTTGGGCCCTATCACGGCCAGTGTCCTGTCACGCTGCAGCTTCTTCTGGCGGGTCTTGAACTGCTCAACCATGGCATGTCTCGACCGGCGTTGGCCAGCCCAGCTGAAAACCTGGTGGCTGCTGCTGCCGAGCATGTCTCCCAGCTCTTCATCCTCGTCGCTCACCTCCTCTTCGCTGTCGTTGCCTCTGATGTCATGCTGTCTCTGCTCCTCCAGCACCACCGCCGATAGGAAACTGTCCATGTCGAAGCGGGACGTCATGAGCCAGTGACCCGGCGGTAGAAACGGCCGACGCGAGTCTCGCTCGTATAGCATTCGTATGGTGGTGATGGCGATATTGCGGAACGCCTCAAAGTCAATCCCCGAGATCACAGTGAAGCTTGACGACACCTTGTCCCGCGTCTTACCCCTCGTCGGCGTCAGCCTGACAACATCATCTAGCGATTGCACAGCGTTTTCTGCCGTGCCCTCAACCTGCAGGAGGTCTGCCGCGTGATGGTACAAGGTGAAGCCGAGGTTTTTGAGGAAGAGCGACAGGTTTTCGAGATCACCCCGTAGGAGACTGCAGCCAGCCAGGCGAGGAGTGCCGCCCGTGGGAGTTCCAGAGATGCCACTGAAGAAATCCTCATCGTCCGTGAGTCGGAGAACGAAGACATAGAGCTCAAGGAAGAGCAGAACCGTCCGCCACTCGCGATCCCATGCCGAGTCCGTTGAGGATGTCTGGAAATAGGTCCGTTGCAGGAGGAAAGCGTGAGCCGACTTCTCGTCGCGGATAACGCGTGAGAACACGGTTGTCGTCTTGACGGCCTCCCAGAAAAATTTGATCGAGGGAAGCTTCTGCTTCTCGGACTGGCCCGCAATATCGGCCAGGTAAAGTCTCATTCGGATGTCGTCCCCACGACTTGGGAAGCAGCGAATCAGTGTTAGAATGTAGCCAGCTAGGATGCTAGCATCGCCTACGGGTTGTGACGACGTGGCTCCGTAGTTGCTTTGTCGTGTTAGTCATATACATTCAAAATAGAAGAAGGAAAAGGGTCCGGAAAATGTTGTGGGCGTTTGGAAAACATATGGCCAAGAAAGCGTGTGTGTGGTGCTTACAAGACGAATTTGCTTAGCAGATTGGAGATCTCGCCGCGCTCCACCAGAGACGACAGTTGCTTGGAAACGTAGTGAGGTAGCTGTAAGTTTGCAGTAGCTGCATCTGACCTAGGGGAATCCCGGGAGCTGAGAGGCGTGAAGCGAGTCCTTATTTCAGACGCCAGATTTGACAGCTGAAGATGCAGCGCCTTGGCGTATGCTGAGGTCTGGGAGGTTGCGGACTGGGCTCGCTGTATGTCGATGAAGCGAGCCAGAAGCCAGAGAAGGTTGTCCTTGGGGGCACTCGCCAGGGTACCGCCGGACGAGAATTCGTCCACTACCGCTGCTGATAGTCGTTCCGGCTCTATGCTCTCTACCAGCACCTTTGTGTGCTCCTCGACAGGCTTCAGGTCGGGCGAGGTAAGGAAGTAGGCGACAAAGGCTCGGTACGCTTTGGAAGCAATGATGTCTGCTTGGCGAGTCGGGCGTCAGTATGTGCACACAATGTTCAGTTTGTGCATGGCTCAGAGCTAGGTACTGACCTGATGGCACCCCCAAGGGCAACGAGATGGCGGCGAGGGGCAACCCGCTACAGTCATGGCCATCTAATTGTTCCTCCTTGATGATGTGGGCGAGTAAGGTGTAATAGGAATCAAGACTATCGGCCGCCGATTCTGGTCGTCTTTCGACAAGCAGCACCAACAGCTTTAGTAAGACCCCAACTTGGGCCGCGGGTTTCTCGGTCTTGATGGCGGTTGCCACAAGCATGCGGACTAGGCTCTTGAGCCTTGCCGTCGGGGTCTGTTCGGGGGAGAACACACCAGACTCGTCTTGGGCCAGATCCTCGGTGAACTTGGTGAGCCCTTCGTAGTCCTCCTCGTGGTCGGCACCGATGAGACTCGGAAGCAGCGGGAACGCGCGGGACACCCGTTCGCTGAGGCTGAGCGGGGGCTGGCAGCGGTACAGGTCGTTGAAGAGGCGGCGGCGCTCAGCCTGGAGGGCCTGCCTCTCGTGGTGGCCCCTCCATGTCCGTTGGATGTTTTGTGCAGCCCGCAGACGATCCCTTTCCTGTTGCCTCCTCTGGCGGTCAGCCTGGGCCTCGGCGACGGATTTGGTGGTGCCAGTTGAGGGCCCAGCGCCCCACGAGGTACCGGCGAAGGGGTCGCTTCGTTGGCCGCTGAGGTTGACGTTTCTCGGCCGCCGCGATGTGCCGGAGAATGTGGGGAACATGGTTGAAGAGGACTGAGGATGCTCGGCAGGAGGGGTGTGTGTACTGTCGTGCAGAGTCGTGCGATGAGCGAGGCCGTGCTTAGGTGCGCGGCAAGTTTGGGGTCGGCCGTAGGCCGCCGAAAGAGCTCAGCACACGGACACGACGGGCTAGGTAGCAGCTGATGATGGTGGGGGTCTGCGGCTAGGTACGCGGGCAGGGGTAGTCAGCTTTGGGATGACGGCAGCGCTTCTGAGAAGGAAGTTTGAGGCCCAAGTGGATACCTGGACTATTCTGTGGGTCTCTTGGAGTCCCTTTCCCGTCTCTTCTTGGAAAATATCATTGAAAATACCTCCAGATCTTTGTACGCTAAAGGTACCTAGCTTTCGAATATTCTAGCAGCAGCGTGATGCGACGGGCTACTCCCAACGCCACGCCTTAGTCACCCGCTTGTGCAGCTTGAGCCAGCGGCAACGCATAGGCACGTGTTCCCCATTACTCTTCGATGGGCTTTGAAAACAAGCGTGTTAGGTTTGTTGAAGGATGGATATATAGATGGAGCAGATACAGGACCCGACAGGAAAGCAGGTGGCGTAGGAAAGAAAAGACGAGCCTATAGTATAGACTGGGTAATGGGAACTCCAACAGGCTGCATATTTTTACCTCGAGCTATTTGGCTGCTATGCCATGATAAGACGGGCCACTTCGGCAGAGGGACTTCAGGCGCAAGTGCCACTGCCCGGACATGGGCGCGGCCAATGCCTATCCATCTTATACGTCAGATCACAAATGGGAGCCTGCCCGCCTGGGTTGGGTGGGTTGCAGGCCCGTCTTGTACCACGGCCAAAGGCCAGCACACCGAAGGCAACCGATAGAGTTTGTATTGCATTTTCACGGCGGCATCCATGGAATGTGTTTGGACACTTGGCAAACAAACAGCTTGGCGGGGGGATTGATCAGGCTGATGATTTAGAGGCGGCTTGGCAAACCCTTCACGCCGCAAGAGCAGCAGGCGCATTTGACGTTGGTGGCTCGGGCTGCTGGCACTGCGGCAAGCTCGGACGCGCCAACTGATCGTGCAGGCGATGCTAGGCTAACGGCTTCCTGCGCTAACTTTGTTGGCACCCTGCTCACCCCGCGGCTGTTGAGCACGCACACACGCCTCGCACCCAAACCCCAGGCCCCACCTGCCGCATCGCCAGCAAATTGCGACACGCAGAACAAAGAAAGTGGGTACGCTCCAAAAAAAAAACAGTCGGTTGATGGCCACCTTCGTCGAGAACCGCTCCTCCTCCTCAAACAAAGGGATTTCTTACCCTCACCAACTTTCCAAACAACCCCTCCGAGTTCAGTCTTGAAGTGCGACTTTTCGTACTTGAATGCTGTCCTCAAGCATCCTCTTTCTCATACCCCAAACCACAAAAAAAAATTGAAAATCACCCGAAAAAAACCCTTGACGGCCGTCGAGAGGAAAAATCGCAAACGTCCCAAACCAGGCAAAACGAAAAAAAAAATCGAAAACCCCCCCTCCAACGAAGGGCGACAAGAGTCTCTGGCAGCGCACCCTAGACATTCTACTTCTCTTTCATATTACAACCTCAACCGCTTTCAGCAGCTCGTCCTAGTCCGACGAGCATTCTCCTGCCAGACAGCCTTTGATCGCGAAGGTCGTCTTTGTTTCCCGCGCCACCTTCGTCATTTTCGCCAGAGGTGAGTTTCCTACTTAGCAACATCATCTCGCCCGCTTCGTCTGCGCGAATGGTTTTTTTCCTGGTCTTTTCACACATTCGCTGCCACTTCTTTCCCCCTCCTTGATCTTCCACAGTAACAAAAACCCCCTCCTCTTATCCACCAAAAACCTGTCTCCAACAAGCGGGGGCATTGCATGATCTCGCAGACCGCTCAATTCTCGTCAACACACCAGGTCAAACCCTTTTCCTGACTGACTCAAACAACCCATTCCCAGTTTTCCGGTTTCCTCGTCGAAAAAACCAACATCATGGCCGCTTCCGCGAACTCGGGCGCTGTCGACCAGCTTGCCGCCGACTTTGCCAACACCGGCCTCAATGGTGGTGACAAGGGCCCTGCCGTGAACACCAGCGTCGCTGGCTTCCCCGGCGATGAGGCCGACACCGCCGGCGCCACGCCGTCTTCTGCGGCCCCTCACCCCCAGGCTTCCGCCTCCCTCTACGTCGGCGAACTCGACCCCTCCGTCACTGAGGCCATGCTCTTCGAGCTCTTCTCCCAGATCGGATCGGTCGCCTCCATCCGCGTCTGCCGCGACGCTGTCACTCGCCGCTCGCTCGGCTATGCCTACGTCAACTACAACACCACCTCGGATGGTGAGAAGGCTCTCGATGAGCTCAACTACACCCTCATCAAGGGCCGTCCCTGCCGCATAATGTGGTCGCAGCGTGATCCCGCCCTGCGCAAGACTGGCCAGGGCAACGTCTTCATCAAGAACCTCGATGTCGCGATTGACAACAAGGCCCTGCACGACACCTTTGCTGCGTTCGGTAACATCCTGAGCTGCAAGGTTGCCCAGGACGAGCATGGAAACTCGAAGGGCTACGGCTTCGTGCACTACGAGACCGACGAGGCGGCGTCCCAGGCCATCAAGCACGTCAATGGCATGCTTCTCAACGAGAAGAAGGTCTACGTTGGCCACCACATCCCCAAGAAGGATCGCCAGAGCAAGTTCGAGGAGATGAAGGCCAACTTCACCAACATCTACGTCAAGAACATCCAGCTTGATGTCACCGACGATGACTTCCGCGCCCTTTTCGAGAAGTTCGGCCACGTCACCTCGTCCTCGCTAGCCCGTGACCAGGAGACTGGCAAGAGCCGCGGCTTCGGCTTCGTCAACTTCACCTCGCACGAGGACGCCTCCAAGGCTGTCGAGGAACTAAACGAGAAGGAGTTCCACGGCCAGAACCTCTACGTCGGCCGTGCCCAGAAGAAGCACGAGCGCGAGGAGGAGCTGCGCAGGTCGTACGAGGCTGCCCGCCAGGAGAAGGCGAGCAAGTACCAGGGTGTTAACCTGTACATCAAGAACCTCGACGATGAGGTCGACGATGACAAGCTCCGTCAGCTCTTCTCCGAGTTCGGCCCCATCACCTCTGCCAAGGTCATGCGTGAGACCCTCGCCGAGGGCGCTGACGAGCCGGAGGCCAAGGATGCCGCAGATGCCAAGGAGAACGTCAAGGAGGACGAAGAGGCCGCCAAGACTGAGGGCGATGAGGGCGATGCCAAGGCTGACAAGAAGCCGAAGCTCGGTAAGAGCAAGGGTTTCGGCTTCGTCTGCTTCGGCAACCCTGACGATGCCACCAAGGCCGTCGCGGAGATGAACCAGCGCATGGTCAACGGCAAGCCCTTGTACGTCGCCCTGGCTCAGCGCAAGGATGTGCGCAAGAACCAGCTCGAGGCCAGCATCCAGGCTCGCAACCAGCTCCGCATGCAGCAGGCGGCCGCTGCTGCCGGAATGCCCCAGCAGTTTATGCAGGCCCCGGTCTTTTACGGCCCCGGCTCGCAGCCCGGCTTCATGCCTCCCGCCGGAGGCCGTGGCATGCCGTTCCCTCAGCCCGGCATGGGTCTCCCGGCCGTCCAGGGCGGCCGTCCAGGCCAGTTCCCCGCCGGCTATGCTGGCCAGCAGGGCGGCCGTGGCGGTCTGCCCCAGCAGATCCCGCCCATGTACGGCATCCCCGGCCAATTCCCGCCTCAGGGCCAGTACCAGCCTAACAACCCCCAGTTCATTGCCGCCATGCAGCAGCTCCAGCAGTCGAACCTCACCGCTGGCCGTGGCGTGCCCGTCGCTCGCGGACCGGGCATCCAGGGTGGCCTCCCTGGAAGCATGCCCGGCATGCCCGGCGCTGCCAACATGCCCGGTTACCCTCCGAACGCTAGGCAGCAGGGCGCTGGTGCCGGTGCTGGCCGTGGCGCTGGTGGCCGCAACCAGGGTCCCGGTTTCGCCGGCGCCGCGCCTCAGGGCGGCCGTGACGCTGCTCCGGCCGAGGGCGCCAGCGTGCTCCAAACCCAGCTGGCGGCTGTTGGTAACAACCCGGGCCAACAGAAGCAGATTCTTGGAGAGGTCATCTTCCCCAAGATTCAGGCTATTCACCCTGAGCTTGCCGGAAAGATTACGGGCATGCTCCTTGAGATGGAGAACGCGGAACTTGTCGCTCTGTAAGTCATATTCCCCTCCCTAAAAAGCCCCAGCCAGGCCCAACAACTAACCCGGCACACTGCAGCATCGAGAATGAGGGCTCCCTGCGGGCAAAGGTTGACGAGGCGCTGGCGGTGTACGACGATTATGTCCGTGCCCAGGGTGGCGAGGCCGGCGACGCTCCCGGCCCTGCCAAGGAAGAGAAGGCCGATGCCAAGGCCTAAACCTCGCAGCCCACACATTCCTTGACGATAGCGATATTTGCGGATGGCCACTTCTTTTCGCAGATGATACCATGCATTTCATATCGCATCCTTTACGTCTTTTTGATGCCGATGACTTTTTCTTTTGCCCATGGTCCTTGAGGGCTGCAAATCATGGGCTGCAACCGAGCTGAATACAGAGTAACCCCAGTCAGATCTTTGAGACGATATGGGGGACTCTCGTCGGCAGTTGCAGCAGCATTCACCATGTACTGATAGACTTTTTTCCCCGGGGGTCACATTTCTCCTTTGTGTTGGTTTTTGTCTTTTCCATTTTTTCTTCCTAATCAGAAATTGGGCAGAAAAGGGAAGGCGCGGTGGTGGCTTGGGGCACTGTTCACCACATATTCTGGTGGACAGCGACGTCTTTCCCCCTCGAACGGCGTTTAGGGGTTGCGGGTTTGTCTTGACTGGGCTGGACTTTGCTTGCTTTCTACACAGGACTGAATACCCCCAAGAGGCAGCTTCCCTCTGCATCTTATCCTGTCTCCACGGTTCTGAAGCTAGGGGTTCCTTCGCTTAAACAGAGTCGGGCGACGATGATGGTTCATGAAGGAATAGTTGACGTGCGCATGATGGGTTTTGCTTCGGTTGGGTGGCTAGCCTAATAGAGGAATCCAAAAGTTTGTTCATTATGTAAATTGACCGTGCCTGGGTTGAGAGTGGGATGTGGGCGTCACTTTTTGTTGCTCTCAGGGCTGAGGAATCCAAGCCCTGACGCTTCTCGGCTCAAAAGAGGCGTGCGTCGAACGAGGAGAGAACTATCGACGGCTGACAAGAACAGACCATGCACGATGATATTGATGATTGCTCCTCAGTGGTAACCCCTGTCACCCTCTCTCTTGCCCTGCCTATTTAATTCATCTCACGCATACACGATCGTAAACCCTGAACCGTAGAGCCATTCCCCGAGACTCCCCGAGACTCCTCGAGACACGCCTAACCCCCATCACGCCTCTATAGCGATTAAGCGCAAGGATTATGATACAAGAAGACTGTGGAGGGAGTGGCTATTGCGAGACGCCGAAAGCAGTCCCCGTTTAAGTATATAAAAAAAAGAAGTTGGAAGAAAATAAAAGTCATGTCTAACGCCGAATCCAAAAAAAAAAAAAAACTAACAAAGCAGATGCTAGTGAAGCCCGAGTGATGGAGCAGAGTAGCGCTACGAGCTATTCGCACAGAGTGATAGCTATGCCCCCTTCCCATCCTGCCTGACTGGGCCATTCCTCCAGATCAAGAGGGACCTAGACGAGTTCCTACCGCGGGCCAGCACGGGCCTCGTCCTCGATGGTGCGCCTCCCCGCCTCGGCGCCGCCGCCGCCGCCGTACAAAATCTCCATAAGCTTGCCCTTCTGACGGACGCGGACGGCGTCGAGGTAGCCGCCGGCGTCCTCGAGGCCGCGGATCTGCTCCTCGAGCGAGAGGGTGGACGAGTTGACGGAGCGGACCAAAGGCGAGACGAGCTTGCGGCGGAGCGCCTCGAGGCTGGCCTTGAGGGCGAGCAGACGCTGGTTGTGCTCGACGAGGACGCCCTTGTTGCGCACCGTCTTGTCGCGCACGTTGCGGAGCAGCACCGCGTTGCGCTCGTACTTGCGCACCCGCCCGGCATCGGGCCCCAGCAGGCGAGCCCAGAGCGAGCTGAGGAGGTCGGCGTGCTCCTCGTCCTGCGCGTTGGACTCGCGCGCCACGGCGCGCGCCAGGTTGAGGAACTGCCGGTCGACCGCCTCGAAGAGCGCAAAGAGCGCGAGGCTGTGCTGCAGCTCGCTGGCGATGGCCTCCTCGAGCACGCCCAGGAACTCGTTGAAGGTGCGCTGGATCGTCGCGCGCGTCCGCTGCGGGCCCGACATCCCCATGACCGACGTCACCACGGAGCCCATCTTGGTCGGCTCGCCTGCCGAGTTCTCCAGCACGCCCACGTTTGAGAGAAGGTTGTGGATGTTGTCAAAGGCCGATGAGATGAGGGCCTGTGTCGGTTTCTGGTTCAGCTGCGTGAGCTCCCTACGTGCCCAGTCCATGACAATGAGGATGCTAAGCTCAGGGTTAGCATCCCATCGCAACACGGAGCAAATGAGAAAAGCAAGGATGCAAGGGCTCGTCGTCGGCTCCACTCACCCGTCAACATCACCATCCACATTAGCAAAGAACTTTGTCAGCTCGACAGCCAGAGTCTTGAGGCTGTCACTCAGGTCGTCGAGCTCCTTGACGATGATTGGCGCCGAGGTCATGTTGCTGGACCGGACGCTCTCGCCGAGATCCCAGACGGCGACGCCCGTGGCCTGGAGGTCCCCAACCTGCTGCGCCCCGTTCTCTGAGTAGTATATCAGCGGTTCAAAGGCCCGCGCGATGCCCGCCACCTTGACAAGGTCCGGGACAGGTCGAGGCTCGGCGGGAGTGAACAGGGAGCGCATCAGACCGAATGATATCAGTGCCGCTGTCACAGACAGGAGCGTCCGCAGCCAGCTCCCCGTTGCGGCGGCATATCTTGCGCGAAAGAAGCTGAGTGCATTTTCAATGGGCGCTGTTTTTTGTTGCACTTCTGCGCGGACTGCGAATCTTATATCTAACCATTGCAAGTGGAAGCCTGTTAGTCGGGCTGCTCAAGGACGTCTCGGACGGATTACAGGGCCAAGAGAAAAAGGCCAGGGGAGAGGTTACGTGCAGTTGTCTGGAGTCTCTTCTTGGGGGCGCAGGTTGGAGCTGTGGGGGCCGGCAGCTCTGCCATGTAGCGAGCGCTGCTGCAGCTGCTCCTCGACCTTGGTCGCCGTGGTGTTGGTGTGGTTGGCAAAGTCCCGATCTGGGCTCCGCCCCTTCTCGGGACTCATGGACCCCATCGGCAGCCTCGTCCTGATAGCCTGCTCGAGGAGCTCTGTTTCGTTCCCGTCGATGCCGTCGTGTTGTCCCAGGTCCAGATCGTCGTCAAGATCCAGTGCTGGCGACAGGCCGCGCGATATGGGGCTCATCAGCCTCCTGCCGGTCAGCGTGTGTGCGTCGCCGCCGCCGCCGCCGCCGCCGCTGCCGGCGTCGGGGGTGCGCCAGAAGCCGGACGAGCGATCACCGTTTCCCAGGCGCCTCCAGGCGGGCGGGCTGAAGCCGCCGTTCGAGACGCTGTCGGTCATCAGGCTCTCGACGTCGGCCGCCTCGCTTGGGCGACTCGAGAAGGCCGAGTGCTGCAACGGCCCGCCGCCCGGGCGAGCCCGGGCGAGGTCGGCGAACCTCGTCGCCGTCCCGTGGCTGGGCGGGGAGGATGGCTGCTCGAAGTCTCGTAGCGAGGCGTCTAAATGATCCGTCGGATCCATCCCCATCGTTCTTCCTGCTGCTGCTGCTGCTGCCACCGCTAGTGCTGGAGCGCGGGCGCTGGCGGCGCCGGTGCTGGTGCTCGCGCTGGTCGTCCGGGTGGATGTCGTGGAGGACCAGGGCGGTGCGGTCTGCCAGGACCAATGGCAGGTCCTGGAGGAGGTCGATGGGGCCGATGGCGGGCACCGCGGGCAGTGGTTTTCGGGCGCGGGTGTACCCGACGACGTTTGCGGTGGGTGGGGGTTCGAGCGTCGCCTTCTTGGAGCGGAAGAGGAGGCCCGGCAGACGAAAGGCCAGGGTCGGGAGGTAAAAGGATAGAAATACCAGCGCCAGAATAAGAGAGGCCAAGAAGGTGCTCGGTGCAATGTTCACAGTCAGGAGCGACACGTTATTGTTAACGGTTAGGAGTGACGGCATCGTCCGACTGACAATGGGCGACAGGCCAGGGGGGGGGCGGGCGAGTGAAAGAGGAAGGGATGAGTGAGGAGGAGGATGCAGAAGAAAGTGGGTCGCAGCCGCCAAAAACAGAGGGACCTCGAGCGCGAACAAACCACGACAAACAGACGGGAGACTTTCTTGCCACCAGAGACTCGGATCGACGCTTAGCCATTTGTGAATGGCATGCGCAGTCGCCCCGGAATGGGGGAGCAGCTCCCTCATGTTAAAGGGCGGAGAGGGGCTGAATTCAAGAGGCTGGGGCCACCTGCGCGCAGCCAATGGCGTGTCCGTCCTCCCAAGGGACCGGCCGTTTTGGAGACCACACCACCAGCCCCATCACCACTTCCCCCCCCACCTTCGAGTCAGCCAATGCCGGCGGGGAAGGTCCGTTTTTATCGTTGGGGTGGGTGGGGACGGGGGAAGGGGGGGAGCTTGACGTGGACGAAGAGGATTGACCGTATTCGCTCGCAAGCTCTGACAGCTGACCTACCAAATAAGGGACTGAGAGAAAGGACGAGTCTAGAGTGGCTTCTATGCGCGTCGCGGGAACGGCGAGTAGCGGCTGGTGGAAACGCGCCGGCACCAAACAAGAAACAAAAAGCACGCGGCGGCCCCGCCACGAGGGGTCCCCTCTCTTGCGCCAGCGGGGTTGCCGCGACGGTTGCCGTGACGGTTGCCGCGACGCCGGGGCCTGGCGCTGTTATGGAGGTGGGGTTTGATGGATCGCGAACCAATATATCGTCCAAGCATAAATCGCCAGCTGTGTACCGTTCCCATTTACTGCCATGCCAACTCCGTAGCCGGTATCCTGGCCCGAAGCAACACCCTCCACCGGCTAGCCATTCGCGACGCCCACCGACGTTCATTACAAGCCAGGGCACCCGCCGGGCCTTGGGCATATGTGGATGAAGAGGTATTAATACACGGTCAACAACCCGCTCGAGGGAACACTGCTTTGATAAAAATGGGATGGGAGTTGTATCATTCAATCACTCTTCTATATCTGTCGGGTGCCCGCTACGGCAACCGGTAATGTTGCCGTTAATCATACTGCATAAGTCGTACTTCCTGCTGGCCACAAAGTAAAATAAAACAAACAGCCATTTGGTGATCGAGAGTGAACCGGTTCAAAGTGTGTTCCAGTGCTCACAGCGCCACCTCGACTCCAACGGCGGGACTGTCAATGAATGCTTCTTTGAATAACTTCCCTAGTTCGCTTCGACAGGATATCGATGTCAAGCTCTCTCGCTCCCAACTACCTGGGCTGCGTTTACGATTGCGTGCGCAGTCCCGAATCTCGCTCTTTGTCTCGTATCAAGTCCGCCCGATGCTCATATAAAATGCACACCATCCCCATCATCGACGGTATCAGATCGCCTGACTGGAGGCTGGAGGGGTAGGCATCCAAGAGCCGCCTGTCCCGCTCCCAGGCAGTCAGCAAGCCAAGAGGCGTGATCAGTATGACCTGTTACCGGCCCGCCTCTGCTTCAAGTATTCGTGGGCTATAGAAGGCCCACTCCTTCCGGCGATACTTAGAGTCCCCTAGTCGATCTTTGCGCTCGCGAGGCTGCGTGCTGTCGGATTGGCGATATTATTGACTTGTGGGACCACTGTGCGCTTGTACTTGCTCTGCTTGCGGAGTCGCTTCCTCGCAACCATGACAGGAACTGAACTCTTAGTAACGAGATAGTTGGAAAAGGAGCCTAGAATGACACTGAGAAGGAGAAAGAGAGTGTTAGTAGATAGTCCTGCTTGTCAAGAGTGGCGCGCAAGGTTGAGGGGCTCGCCAAGAATCGTCGGTCAAGCACACTTACCCTTTCAGGGCACTCCGCCCGCGGCTGCCGAGGATGACCAGCGTGGGGCTGACGAGGTCGATGACCTCGGTGATCAGGTGTTTGGGGTTTTTGCAATGCAGCACCTCAACAATCACTCGGACCTGCAGCCTAGTCTTGCGGAGTAGCCTCGTGACCCTTTCAGTGATATCGACGATGGCCCGTTCACGCTCCTCCTCTGCCTTGCTCTTGTCTTTTGTAGAAGGGGCTGGCGACCCTGACGCCTCGCCCGTGCCGCTCCCGCTCCCACCGATATCGAACGATCTCACCAATGGCGAGCCCCGGAGCGGCAGTAGTGACGAACCCCCTCCAACGCCGCCCAAAACCATAGAAGGCTTGAAGTTGGCGACGGCGTGAATGGCCGACGCCTGCTCCTTCATCGCCTTAGGATCGTCTGGCACCTGGCTGTTGTCTCCCCCACCAATGCCTATCTCCTCGTCCACGCAGTAGAGTGCCAGCAATGTGTCGCCGTCGCGCAGGACAGTCCCGATAGTCCATTCCATGGCATGTGTCGACTCCTCGCTGAGATCGCTTGCCACGAGATACTTCTTCAGCCGACGGTGTTCGTTTTCGGCATCCTGCGCCACCTTGGCATAGTCGCCCCGGTAGATGATCCGGATGGCCCGATGGGACTCTGGTGAGTCTATCACCGGCGTCATGGTAAGGCTAAGCTTCTGTGCCCGCTTAATGTCGCTGAAGTCGGCCTCAGTGTCCGAATCCATGGGCGTGCGGGTGCCGGAGCCGGACGAGTTGAAGTCAAAGCTGGTGACGGGGTGGATGCCCGGTTTGATCTGCTTCCCCCGCCCGCCCGCCGGGTTCGTCACCGTGATCTCAGGCTCATCCAACAGAGACCTATACTGATGCGCAGGGCGAGATGCCGCCACTTGAATACCTGTTTTTTTTTTTTGGAATGTGTCAGTTATTTCTACTGCCCCGCTGAGGCATCTGAAGCACCGGCGGTGCCGATGGGAGGTTAAGGAGGGCTCACGCTCTTCCTCAGCCGCGGCAAGCAAACTCTGCGAAGCCTTCTGTTTTGGAGGCTCGAGTCCGGGGCTCTTGATGCTACTGTTGTCGCTGCCGTCAAAGTTCCTCCTAGCTTTGCGTCCACGGCCACCCTCTTCGTCTGACGTGTTTCCCTGGTCCTCATCGCTGCTTTCCTCGGGCAGAATTTCGCCATCGGGGCTAACATAATCCTTTGCAAGCCGACCCGAGCCAGTAGCGTCGTCTGAGCGTTTCCTCTGCGAGAGGACTGCAAGACTGCCCCCAGATCTCGCCAGGTTGGCGTCCGACAGCCTGCGATAGGCGTTGTGCATGTCTAGATTTTGCGTATCGTCGACCAGCGACCTCCCGGCTGGGCTCAGGTGCCTACCCGAGAGCAGGATGCCGGGGGACTGCGAGCGCATGCCCAGGCGGCTATGCGGCGACTTGGACTTTGACGACTTGGACGGCTTTGGTGGGTGCGCAGACGGACCAATGGTCGGGTAGGGCCGGCCCCGGTCGCCCGGGATCGAGAGATTCCCCACGTCCCCGCCACGCATCACCTCGGACATGACGCTCCGCTTGCCACCCTGCGTGACCCGCTTCGGGAGGGCTTGGCCAGCGTGGTTCGTGATGATACCCGAGAACTGGTAGCCCGCCGTGGGGTCGGCAGACCCCAGTGCCGATGACCGAGGCCCGAACTCTGCCGGCTTGGACGCCGCATCCGAGAAGCTGCGCGGGTGCTGAAGGCTGGGGACGCTGATGGAGTGCGCCCGAGGGCTCGAGAGTGGCGACGTCTGCGCACTAGCGGACGGCTTGGCCGTGAGGGGAGGGCTGTCGGGGTCGAGCATGCTCCGGACCGGCCTGGGCGCGACCGGAGGGGCGTCGAAGTCGAGCATGCTCCTCACCGGGACGATCTGGGCGGGTCGAGGGCGGGGACTTGGGCGAGGGCTGTTGCGCACGCCAGCGGCGTGGCTAGATCCCGAGGGCGAAGGCTCGTCGTAATGCAGCATGCTGCGCACCGGGGATCGAGGGCCCGTCGAGTAAGGTGACGGTGAACGGCCGCTGACCGAGGCGGGGCCTCTGTGTCTGGCAGCCGCCGAGGATCCCTCGAGGAGCGCCAAAACCTCGCGGCGCTCCTCATCGAGCATCGCCTCCATGCTCATAGGTTGGGCCATTTTGCCGATTGGGAGCGCCTTCGCTGGGAACCTGGCGTTTTTACCGAGACGGCAGCGAGCCGAGTTCCAAGGCCAACCAAGGCCGCGACGCGGGACGAGCGACGCGCTCCAGCCAGAGCCAAGCTTTGGGGCGATGTCTAAAGCCGCAAACAGGGCGAGATATGGTCGCGTGCTAGGTAGGCAGTTGGTGCGAGTCTGCGATCGAGCGGCAGCTTTGGGTGATTAACTGGTGCTGAGGTGGGGGGGTTGCTCGGTTGTGCTGCCCGTGCTTCGTCTGTAAGATGCAGTGAGTGCTGCAGTACGGATGCCCAGATAGGCGCTGAGGCGGAAAGGTTATTGAGCACACAGGTAGAGAGACCTGAGGGGGTGCCGGGTTCTAACGGGGGATGATGGTCGGACGCTGCAGGGCGATGTCGAGGATTTCTTGGAGCAGAAATAGCATCGTGTGATGGCAGGGAATACGGGGCCCTAAGAGTTGCGTTTGGCGGCTGTCTTTTAGAGCATAGCGGAGCCCAGAAGCGCCCTCCTGTTTCGTGCAGTAGAGGCCTCCGTTTCCCTGTGGCGCGGGCAGGTGGTGGGTGACTGTTTCCAAATCGTCTGCCAAGACAAACGGCCGCGTATGAGGGCAGCGCCGAGGATGGACGGGGCGAGCGCTCGGCTGCCACTACCAAAAGGGAAGCGGTTGGAAGAGTGAGGAAGGAAGCGCGCGGCGGACGAGAGCCTGGGCGGTCTCCCCAGCAGGGACTGACTCGCAAAAGTAGCGTGGCGAGGAATTGAAGGGGGACAAGATTAGAGTATTAAAGCGTCTCTTGTTGCGTTGCGCAGAGTACAAGGTGTTGCTGACGATGATGCGATCAAGAGGAGCGACCCAACGAATTTTGTGTTTTTTTTTTCTCCCTTCCTGGGGCAGCTCCCCCAAGGTTCAGCTAGGGTCTTTTTCTTTTTTTGCTTTGCGCACCCCAGCAGCGTTCCTGAACCTTAGCACAGCGGGGCAACCAACCCATGGGAGTGGGGATTGTGGGCGATTTTGAAGGACCAGACCCCTTCCTTCGCTGCCCAACAATGGGTCGCCTGCCCAATCAATGATGAATTGACGAAGTCGAGCCGGAGGCTGGAGCTGCCGACTTTTAGTGATGATATGGGGCAATTGCATTTGGAAAATGATCCGGACTTCGACTTGTCACCCACACCTTCTGCTTCCTCTCATCTGTGTAGCCCTGGGCTTTCCTTGTCTGTCAGCGGGATCTTCGTCTCCTTCCGTTGATAGATACTGCGGCGTACCTGGTAGGCCCAGGGGCTGTCTTATCTCTCGACAATGATATACGCCCATCTGGCCACGTGCAAGATGGCTCGGGCAGGCCGGTGAGGGTTTGGTGTGGCACACAATGCTTTGCGGTGCAGCGCGTCCAGCCATCCAAGCTCACACCGCTGTGAGAGTGAGAGAGCAACACACCGCACAGTGGGGTGGTAATTGTTCGTGTCCTTTCCGTCATGATTGACCAGCAGCTGTCATCCCACGTGGAGGGAAACGAAACACGCGAGCATCGCACTTGGACGCTCCATGCGTTTTCATCCAGGTTCATGTTGGAGAAACGTCGATGTTGGTTCGGGTTGTTTATACACACATCTCGTTGGTGTCATATTTGTACATTCGCCCAATGCGCGCCAAGGCCGGTTCATAATTCGTCCGCCAAGGCGATCCCCTCCTAGGCCTCCAACATTGTATCCTTCCTTATCGTCTCCTCATGACAGCAGCGATATTTGCTCTCGCCGTGGTGCCCAACCTGTGGACCATCAGCCGCCTATCCCAGAGCGACGACTTTCCCTCAACAATTCCAACAATCTCCTCGGCGATGCGGTGCGCGAGCTGAGTCCTCCCGCTACCCTTGGATTGCTTCTTCCTGACCAACTCCAGGATCCACTGGAACGCCACCCTGCGGCGCTGCCGGATCGATAGGGGGAAGGGGACGGGTGAGCTGGCACCACCTCCTGCGAGACCCGAGAAGTTGCGAATCTTGATCAGGGGGGCGACCGAGTCGATGGCCAGCGTCAGGTACGTGATGGGATCCAGCGGCAGGTGCGAGGCTGGCGGGGCGCCCGGCAGAAGGGCCCGCGCCGGATTGAGCTTGGGTGCGGGCATGGTCCGGAGAAAGTTCAGCACCATGGCCATATCCTATACGCAACGCAAAATGCATACGTTTTTAGTAGACCGTCCTGCCTAGACCGGGGGTGCCGCCGGGCGTCAACGAAGAACTGGCCACATGGTTCTTACCCTCTGTGCCTTGCTCTTTTTCCCATCCTTCATCAGAAGGTTTGTGATCTGCTCCAGGACCGGGTGGTAGCGGTGCTTGAGATGCATCCCGCTGGGGATCGGGACCTCTGGGACGCCGTACTTGTGGCCAACCTGGGCCGAGTCGAAGGATTCGACGCCGTACGAGATGCGCTCCAGTTGCCGCAGGGCCTCCTCGTTGGCCACGATGTCTCCTTCGTCCCCCTTTTCTTCCGTGATCGCCTTGCCCGCCTTCAACGAGGACAGCGCAACATCGAGGTCATGTAGTGGTATTACCGGGGCCGGCTCACTGGGAGCCGGTGCACCGGAGGGCGGAGCAGTGGCAGACGGGGGCGGGGGGCCGGGAGGCTGGCCGTCGGCCGGTGGTGTCGGGGGCACTGTCGGCGCATCGATGGAGTATGGCCGGGCCAAGGCCAGGGCTCTCGGGGCCTGCCAAGGCGGCGGCGCGGCTGGCCTCCTGGGACGGAGGGCGAGGGCTCTGCACGAGGCCAAGATGTTTAACCTCGGCGGCATCTCTGTGTCGTGCGGGGTTCTCTCAAGGGACCATGGGTGGCGGCGGGTGAGTTCGGCGCGCTCCTGGACGCAACAACCTGGAGTCGCCAAATTTTCCCGTCGCCATTTCCGACGCCTAGCGTCGACTCGGTTCCCCGCAGAGAACTGGCGACTCACGTGAGGGGCCGGATTGATGTATCCCATTGGATCGAGCACTTGGAGCTAATGTGGGTCATGGCTGCGAACTTGAATGGATCGTCTTCTCCACACAACTAGAAGAATCCATTGTGAAGCTACTATCACGGCTCAGCCGTTACCCAACTCGTTAGTGTTGCCTATTTATTACCTTTGAGAATTGCCACACTACCAAGATCCCAACTGCCCTTGCGGTTGTCGATAGATGGCGCGCCGATCCTCAGAAAGGGCCTGGCACTGGTCAACGCGCAGGCTGGGTCATGTGCCCGCACTTGCTGCCCATCACCTCGCCGAGATGCTCTCCCCGGGGCTTGCTCGACCGGGGCCGCTCGGCTGGAGCCCGAGGGTGCCACTGCACGATGCAAGCTGCACCAACCACCCCAGCAGGGCAGTTGCAACATGGCAGTCGCGAGCTGGCTGGCGCCGGCCGGATGACCAGAGTCGGCAGTCCCCATGCAAAAGGCGATCCCTCTCTGTCCGTGGACTGGACTGCCACTGCCGTCGGTGCGTCGTCCCCTATCTGCCAAGTCCAGCCCGGCAGGTGTGAGGGTGTGGCCGGACGGGTGGGGTATGACACTAGCACCAAGGGGTTGTGGTCAAGGAGCTGTGGTGGGTGCGTGTGGGAGTGATGTGCGTGGACTGCCGCCTGCGTTTCTTCCAGCTCATGGCTCCGCTATGACGGCCGTAAACCCAGGCTCAGACTCCTCCTACATCTTTGCACTTCATCATGCCGGACTCCCTGGCTATATTCCGCTCGTCCTCGGCGCTATTACCTCTGCTGCAGGCAAGTCTGGGCCAAGGCGTCTCGACGAAGCTCTGCAGAATGCGCTTCGCCTGATGGCAACCGCTCCCTTTCATTGGAGAAGGGGCAGCCCATCTCCTCGTCGCTTTGTCCATCGGGAGCCGAGCGGCGGCGCCCATCAGGAAACACGTATGCGAGCAAAAACCTGCTCCCGGCACCACACCGACAGTGATCGCCTCACGCGAGGGCGTCAACGACACGTCGACCTGGCTCCTTTGCCCGCCCCTCCATCCTGGGCCCCTTGCTCTTTTTGGCAGGCAACAATCAAACAGCCCTCCGGCCAGCCAGGTGGCGCCTCCGTGGTTGCGAATGCAACCGGGGCAGCACGAGAGAGGTCAAGCAAAGCGAACCAAGTCCCCTTTCCAGCGTGTCACTTTGTTGCACTAAAGTTTGTCCCCCGGCGGTCCACCGATCATTTTAGTCCCGCGAAATTTGAGGCTAGAAGGTGCACGAGGGTGCCGGGAAACGAGCCTCTCAGCTGAGGGCCGATCCATGGGGCCCAGGGGTGTTAGTGCAGCCCCCTTCCAGCCATCGCATCCACCCCGGTATCAAGTTGGCTTGCGAACCCCACGCGCCGCCCACGCCCTCTCCTTCCACACTTCATCTCTGTGCCATATCTTCCCATGAGTTATTATTCACCGTGCATCATCAGGGCGGCATGCAGAGAATGCAAGAACGTGGCAAAGATCGTGGGGGGTTCTCTGCAGTGAAGGTAAAAAAGAACACCACTTCAATTTGATAAGAAAGGTGCTTCAAGTCAAGGAGAAGACGAGTAAGGAAGGACATGATTAGGACTCTGTGAGAAAGAAAATGATAAGAAAAAAAAAAGAAGAAAAAAATGACAAAGAAGAAACATTCCTCGTTACGCCGAGCCTGTTGTTTTGTTTTCCCTCAGTCGCCGCGTGGCGAGTTCCCAAAGTTGCCTTTTCTGTCCAACGCCATCATAGGGTTATAGTACAAGGAAGATTGACGCGAGAAAGCCGAGTCCGCGGAGAGTTCTGTTGGCGGAGAAGAGGGATTTCATCCAAGCCCCCTCTCCTCCTCTCGCGTCTTACAACATCATCGCCTCCGCTGGCCAGACGGGGAGGGGCAAGGAGGGAGAGCAGGGAAGTGCTGTTGGGACGGCTCTTTCTGCCCATTACCGACCTCCAGCCCTCTCTCCATTTCACCGTGTGCTGTCTGCCCGTCCTTTCTGGTTCTGTTTTTGTTTGCCGGGGGTCTGGGTCTGGGTCTGGGGTCCCCCGCCTTGCCGATCGCCAAAAGACCCGCCCGTATCTTTTGTTACCGCTGGCGTTTTCGTTTTTTTTTTGTGTTTTTTTGTTGCGCTTCTCGTTTTGCTGGGCGTGGTGCGCCCCCTCGTGATTTACCACCCTGTCGACGACGGCGAGCTCGTTGGGGTCGTCAGCCAGGTGTAGGCGACCTCGGCCGCGTCCTCCCTGGCGTTGTTGATGTTCTTGCCGTCGTACCAGAACCGGGCCGCGTGCGTCGACCCGTGGACAATTACGCTGCTGGACCAGGCCGTGCGACCGCCTGTTTGTTGCGACAAGACGTTGGGTGGTCAGCTTTGGCTTTCTTCACTGTTGGGGTGGAAGTTCCACACCACTCCCGTCCTGACGCGAGGTGTCGCAACCCGCAACCGCAGCCCCCTGCCATCTGGGATGGAACCCCAAGGGGATTGCTGCGCTCGGCGGGCCTTCGATTCCCCCCCACGCGGTTCCGCTTACCTCTTCTGTCGGAAGAAAGCTGGTACTTGGGGGCGATGATTTGGTATTCTCTGCAGGCATCTGTCCAAAAGCCGTGTTAGTGTCTGGTACCCCCTCCATGTATCGTGGGGCAACGATCCACCATCAAAAGAGAAACTCACCTTCAAGCCTCGACTGCCACGTCGGTGTCTGGGGCACATCCAGCTGCTTGGGGTTCGACGCAGAAGGCATCTTGTTTGAGAAGGCTGGGTGGGGAGAGAAGAAGGTAAGGAGGCAGTGACTGGTTCCAGTGGTTCGTTCTTCTTGGGGAGAGCGGGCGCCCTTTAAGAAGGGATGGGTGTGCAGGGGCAGGAGACGCCGGCGTGGATGCAGAACGGTGTGCGTGCGCGTGCGCGTGCCCGGTGCGGCGCGGCGAGGTGTTTTAGGGCTCTTTTTTTCTTCTCCTTCTCGCCCCCTTGTTTGTTTTATCGAAAAAAGAAAGAAAAAAGAAAGAAAAAATTAAGTTTGATGTGCGTGCGCAGCAGGCCGACGCTGGATTTCAACCGGCCGCTAAGATGGTTCGACCGGGGAGGCTAGAAGGTTTATAGCGCGGTCAGAGGACCAAGGCGGAGGCGGGCTAAATCGACAGGACGGGAAAAGCCGTGATAGGTACGTGGGAGAATGGGCTCGAGGAGTGTTCGATCCATGCGTCTGGGATGGTGTATGCAGGGTTGCTAACCAGGATGGCTTGATCGGAGGGGGAGATCAAGCGGTGTTCTGGGGAGTGGCAGGGGGAAGAGCGGAGCGCCCTTTTATATCCCACGAGGGGGGGAGGGCAAGACAAGCAAAAGGCCCAGAAGCCAGACACCACGCACACACACACACACACACAAACGCACGCAGATAGGAACCCAATGGGAGCCGGACCAGAGGCGGAAGGGTGCGGGGCTACTGCTCGGGCTGCTCCCGAGCCAAAGGGCTCCAGAACGATGTGGCAGTCAGAGATTTGACTAGCCGGGGTTGCGTCACTGACGGCCCAAGGGAGACAAGACGGACGGGGCGCCGGGAGGAGGAGGAGGAGGAGGCCCGTTCTCTTGGTCCAACGTTTGGGTCCGGCTGTGGGCTCCTGGGTTCCGGCTGCTCGCGCCCCTGACGGACGGCCGGGCGAGGGCAGTTGGGAGAGGTACGGGAGAGCGCAGCAGCAGCCGCGGACAGTGAGAGAATGATCCGGTCTTTCAGACGGCCAAGTACCTGGCAGGCATATCGAAAGGATCGACCAGAGCAGGATGCGAAAGAGGTACCTAGGGCGACCGATGTAGGTAGGTATGTATTAGTACATTTCTGCTCCGTTGTTTTTTATTCGCTCCGCCCTTTTGTCAGTTTTTTCTTTTCTCCTCTTTGCGTTAAGGCTTCCGCTAATCTCTCCCTCATCCTTTCTTTTTTTTTCTCACTTATTGCTTTTCTTTCCTACACCCACCCCTTCCTCTTTTCCGACAAACAACGTGTCCGTCCATCCTTTCCCGTTCCGCTTGCTTGTCTCCGCTGTGTGGTATTTATACGCCCCAGAATCTTGCGCTTGGCTCACTCCCCCCTACATCACCATCCCATGACCTCGGCCGGCCGGACCCTTGCACGCCCAGTGCCTGTCCCGGTCTCTTTCCCCCAGCCCGATCAGGCAATTGGTGCACCTTTGGTGTGCGTTTGGGACGGCACCCGGTGTGCAGCACAATGCCCCAGGCAAGCACCGAGGGTCTGCCCGATCCCTAGCGTGGTCGAAGGGGTCATCATGGCCCGGCGATGGCCTGCGGGAAGATCATGTCCCAGGTCTCTTACACCACAAGCGGTAAAGGCTTGCGAGGAGAAGCGGAAAGCAATGCGGCGGCACACAGCCAGGGAGGTGACATGAAAGATGGGGGAAAAAAGGTGAAAAAAGGTGAAAAAACAATAACCATTTGTCCCACTCCACGTTCCCGACCGATCAATCAATCACATCTTGATCCGCCTTCTCCCGCCTGATGGACAGCTAAGGTTTTTTCTTTGCTTTTTTTTTTTAGTCTTTCTTTTTTTCTTTTTCATCTCACTGCCCTCTTTCAGCGTGGTGTCGCTCCTTAGATCCATGGAGTGCTTGCAACCAGCTTGGGTAGCATGGCCATCTACAACCATGTCGGGTCGACTCTCGGACGCAGCTATTCCCAATCTTTCCCCCCTCCTCTTTCTTTATCCGTCTCATCCTTGAGTTTCCGTCTGCCCTTTTCGACATAATTGAGGGCACACAAGTAGCAGCAAAAAGCCGGGCCCCGCCTCAAGGCCAGAACTTGGCCGCACGAGAGGAGGGTGCCTTGCATTTTCCTGGGCGTGCATAAGCCAATGGCAAACCCAGCCAGCCACGTACAGCTTTGGGTCCTTACTGCCTGTCCTCCATCAACCCCCCGCCGCTTACCACCTCACCCACCCCAAGCCCTACAGCGCCGGCTAAAGCGAAGCCCACGCAGCCCGCCCAGGTTTTCCCCGCCCCCTGCAGAGAGGGCAGACAAGGGGCGCTGTTATCTGAGCTTTGCTGCTGTATGATGTATGTGTTGAGATGCGTCATGTATAATGAATGTATGTATACCTACCCTACCCAGCAGGCCTGTACACGTCGCCCTCTGCAGGGTGTGGGTGAGGGAAGCACATGCCTGCTATCTGTCGAGCCATGTCACGAAATCCAGCTCAGTCCATGGTCGATGAGGCCCAGCGCACGCAATCCGGTACCAGACAGGGGGGTGGGAAAGCCATGCCGCTGCTCCATCTCATCCGGCACGATCGGCGACGTGGGTGCGCGGGAACAAAAAGGAAGAAGATGGAAAAAGCGATCAATGCGACTGTGCCCAAGCACCCAGGGTTTCCCAAGCCGAGCAAACCCCTCAAGCATCACCGCATGCGCTGCCGTGTCGTATGTCGCAACAAGGGGGAAAACCATGCGTCTGCAGGTTATGTTGAGTGCCGTGGTGCGTGCTTCTTCTTCTTCTTCTTCTTCTTCTCCTTCTTCTCCTTCTTCTCCTTCTTCTCCTTCTTCTCCTTCTTCTCCTTCTTCTCCTTCTTCTCCTTCTTCTCCTTCTTCTTCTTCTTCCCCGAGAGCATTATGCCGGTCGACCCGATCAAAGGACCCCTTGGGCCCCCATCTGCATGGGAACAGTACGTGATGTGATGGATGGCGATAAGGCCCGGGGCTGAGCCCCCAAAGTGCACTTTTTTTCTGCCAGAGCCAGGCCACCCAGGTTGGTTTTGCTCACTCGGTTCGGTTGGTACGTATGCATGCAGCAAACGAAACGGCTCCCAACTGGACAAACCAGCCCCTTGGGGCCCAACAACAGCACGGCACATCCTGCCGGATGTTTTGTTTTTTCCCCGTTGGCACGCAGGCGCATCACACCATCCACGTCAAAGACCGATTACATAGCAACCCAAAGTGTCCGTCTGCCTCTGAGCGTGGATTCATACCTGACAAATCCTTGGGCGAGCTTTGATCTTGTTGCTTCCATGGTTTCCAAATACCCTCTTGACCCTTCGTCCTCGGCCTTTTTGCAGACCCCGTCCGCGCACGCCGGTGGCTTGCTTCTCGACGGCCGTCCAGCGTTTCAGACGCCAAATTGGGATAGTGCCCTAGCCCGCTTACACGCCCGGGCCTTCGGGCCTTTCCCAGCCGCGACAAGCGAGAGCCATGTTTGTTTGGTTCCTGGAAAGAAAAGAAAAAAAGAAAAGCAATGCTAACTTTTGGGTCTATTCCGTTTGCTGCCTCCCGAAATGGCAGGGAAGACTTGATGTCTAGTTTGCCTCCCGGGCTCTTCCCGCCTTCATCCGAAGGTCAGTATCAAATGTTTGCATTTTTTCTTTTCCTGCCAATTCGCTCTTCAGATTGCATCTTCTTTTCTTTTTTTGTCCTCCCTTCTTGTGATGCTCGAGGCATCGGGATTTTCCCGGGTACACAGTTTCTTGTATGCTTAATTTTAAAACCCACGAGAAGGAGTACGGAGAGCTATGCACGATGGTCTTTTGTGACCTTGGCTTCTAAAGAGTGTCATTACCCGCCCAAGACCCAATAACAGTGCTGGCACCCGCTGCCACCAGAAAAAGATCTATGTGGACAAGAGATAGAGAAGGAAGGGAATTGTTCCCAAAGTTTGTACACCCCTGTACACCGCTTGCCTGCAGATGACGGCGACGCCTGGACAAAATCCTCCCTTGTTCCCTCATTCCCCTTCATCTCCCAACCACCGAGTGAGTTTCCGAAGCCGGTGTCCGTAGCCGGTATCTGTACCCATGAGCCGTCTCCATCTTCGCTCTCCCTTTTCTCTTCGCACCTCTCAGGCTGCGACGCGCCACACGATGCGACCACAGCACGCACAGAGCTCGCCGCGTTCTGGCCGAGGTGCCTCCAATGTCTCTGCTGATTCCGTAGGGGGACGCACGGCATTGGTCAAACTGGACCGCGGGAAGCACACAGGGATCGGCAAGGTGTGAACAGGCACGACAGGGCCCGGCAGAGACCCGCAGAGGGGGGGCAGGGAAACAAGGCGCTAAGGGAGAGCTCGTTTGGATGCGCGAGGCCGATAGGCTCCAAGTCTCCGGGACAAATTCTCCGCTCTTCTAAACGAGAAGAAGAGAAGGGGAAAGAGCGCGCAAGGAGGGTTGGAATCCGCTCCCGCGCGGCATTCCGCGATCTCCCTCCAGAAGGGATGGGTGCGACCCCACCCACCCCCCTTGCCCCCCCTCTCGGAGCACGCTCTAGCGTCGCCAGGGTTGGAAGCTGATTTGTTCAATGGCGGGGGGACCTGGGGGACGATGGGCAGATCCGCAGAGGCCTTGGTTTGGTCGGCTGACAGATATCACCTTTGATGGTCAGTTATACTCTCACACACAATACCCCAGAAGGCCCAAGACCGGGCTAAGGACGGCTGCTCCAGCTAATGGACCTCCCCGTCCCATGACGCGGGCTTGTCAATGCTGTGGAGTGCGGCTGGTGGCAAGCCAACCAACAGCCAAGCCAGCCATCCATCTTCTCCTCCTCGTCTCCCTTGCCAGAGTGGCTTGCACACATGGTCACCAGGGAGCTGGCTGGTCTTCGCGCTGGGCCAAAGCGCGCTTGGACCGGCCGGCTTGCTGGGAGGTCATATGGGGTGCTCTCATACACCCTGCCTCCATTTTTAGCGGGGAGAAGAAACAACGAAAAAAAAAGGGACGCGTCTCCTTGCCGTCTGGTGGGTGTGTCGCCTCAGCACAGCACGCCATGTGCACCCCCTGCAAGCCTCCCCCCCCCCCTCACCTGGCGGGCACAATCAAGGGAGCGGCATCCTGGTGGGACAGGACGGGGGGAGAGGCTCCCGGGTGCGACGCAAGCGCGGCTTTTATTCGCCCCCCCGGAACGCCGCATATGGGCAGCGAGGCGGACAGAAGAGTGGACAGGAGCACGTCGTCGATAGGGAGGATTTGCTGCTGTATTCCCATATGTTCGGTGATACAAGCTAAATGTCCGACGTCGTGTCTCCTTTGGCGTGCTGGAGGCCGGCTTCTGATGCGTTGTCCCATCGTAACGGGACCTCGAGGAAGGGGCAGGTTTTATTTTTTTATATTTTTATTTTATTTTTTGGTGATGTGGTTAGCAAACCAAGACGGTTGAATTGACCAAATCTATAGCCTCGGGCCACGCCGTCCGGTCTCTTTCCTTTTCTCCTACCCAGACTGGTGGTGCCATAGCAAAAAGAGCCGAGGGCTCGCATCCATTAACAAATTGGTACTAGCCCAGGTCTTAATAGTGCTATCCAGCAGATAATATGCGTTGCTTCTGCCACATCGTGGCGGCGATCAGGAAATCACGCGGCCACCAAGGTCACCACGGGGAGGGTGCTACCTTGGCAGCCCTGCTTGCCGCGAACCAGGGAAGAGGCCTACGAGCCTTGGCCTAGACCCGCCGCTTGAGGACCACGAGGGGGATCTTCTGACGGAGGCCGGTGTGATGCCGGCATTCCCTCCTTGGCACGCCTCTCTGCAATGCTGGCGCTTTCGAGTTATCTGCCAAGTGACATGCAGGGCCAAGGCTTAGGACCGGCGAATGTTTACCCATGCGTTGGTTACACGTGCAGAAGATTGTTGGGCAGCATGAGGTGAGGCGAGCGGCATGGCTTCCGTGGCGTTGAAAGCAGAGATGCCGGATATGGCGGCTGACTAGGCCGCCCGTACCGGCTGGCGAGCCATTGGATCTCGGGACGGACAGCTCGACTTGTCGTTGTTTCGTTGGGCACTGCAAGGGCGAGTTTGTACTTGTGTTTGTGCGCACGAGGAGTGCCGTCAGGAGCAGACAGTAACAAATGCCGGATAGATGGACATGGTTCTTTCGGCGAAATCTCTCAAGGGCCGGAAGATTTCTTCTTGTGCGTTGCTGAGCAGGTAGTTTGTTCACCCTCCACCGACGCGGGATTGTGAAACGACTGAATGATAACAGCAGCGGGCAAGAGCTGTGCCACCGGCTAAGAACCGAGAGTCGGCACCTGAGAGAAATGGAATGGATATTGGCGAATACGGCAGCGCGGGGGTACTGGCAGCTATTGGCTACACCGAGATAGGGACAACGGCTCCCGCCTCCTTTGATTCTAATGGCTATGGGGCCTACTAGCCCCTCTAAGCCTCCCTCCCTGTGGACGCAGGCTGGCCTTTGGACGCGGGACCAGGCGTGCACGGAAGCAGGTCGGGATGCAAGGAAAGAAAGCCGTTGGAGTGACAGTGACAGAGCAGGCAGCCGTCCCTGGCGTCGAGAGAAGCCGAGAGCGAGAGGAAAGATGAAAGAGGAGCCTCCTATCCACGAGGGATTTGCGTATGTGTCAGAAAAAGGGTAGGCGCAGACATATTCCTTCCCAATGGCAAGGCACGTCGGCCCAAAAGGGCGTGCCACTGCCATGACAACATCGGCAGAGAGGAATCACTCGGGAAGGATTGATAATATGGTACTATGACTTGGCCGGCGCTTGCCAGCACATCGAAGTGATGAGATAAGTAGGCACTGCGTAAGAGGCACGGAGAAGTGCAGAGCGCGGGTGGTTGTGCCCAGCGTTGTTGGCATCCCTCAGCCTAACTGAAATAGGATGAGATCATGTCCACGTCAAAACTCCCTGCGGGAGACAGCTGCGCGTTTGCTATTTTTGCTCAACGGTCTGCCCTCTGCGTGTGTGTGTGTGTGTGTGTGTGTGTGTGTGTGTGTGTGTGTGTGTGTGTGTGTGTGTGTGTGTGGTGGTGGGTGGTGGGTAAGGGGTAGGGGTAGGGGTACGGGTACGGGTACGGGT